ACCCAGAAAGTTTCCAAGTGTTCGCACCCCCAAACTGTGAGACGAGGGCAGGCCCTCGCGGTCCGGTGGCGGTCAGAGGTGAAAGGTCACCGAAAGGGGCAGGCAGAGACCTGAGAGGAAGCCGACCTGGGACCCTCTTCTTGAGGTTAAACAGATCTTCCAGAACCAAGTTGGAAAGACTTGGGTTTTGAAAGTGTTTGTCCCAGGATCTTAGCATCTCAGAGAAGAGAGTTGAGTGGTCCACTTGTCCTCAAGCTTTTTGGGATGGGAGGACTTTTTAGCTACTACTGGCTTAAAACAAGGTATGCCTTGTTAGAAGCCCCGGCGAAGAGCCCTTGACTTTTGTTCAAACTCCTCTTACAAAGGGGTAAAGTCAGGTCGTGGAAGATGAGGGCTTCAGGGCTTGGGTCTCACCCCTACTTCCATCTGCCAAGGTCTGGTAGGGCAGGTCCAGACAGTACTAGGTAGGGCTCTGCTTTTGCCAGAGACTCTACCTAGGGCCCTTTCCACTTCCGTAGCTTCCCAGAAGGAGATCTTTTAGAATCTCCCCAGGAGATCTTTTAGAACCAATTTAACACCTTTCTCTATCTGAACCCTGGAATATGTCCTGGGGCTCTGTGTCTCTTGTCCCACCAGTTTTCTTTTCCCCTTGGGTGCATTTTTCTGAGTTTAGAGAGAAAAATCTTAGGGAGATAATTGTTGCTACATTTCTGTCCTAAAAGCCAGGAGAAGTGATTGGGTTTCTGATTATGTTTCCATGGGCTTGGGCTCCAGAACTTACTGGGCCGCTCGTGAAGAGGTCAGTTTCTCACCTAATCACCCTATGGTGGAATGTCATTTTGACCTAATGTGGAATTGGTCCTTGCAAACCCTTTAGCTTCCCATTTGTGCATTAGTGAGGGGGTCTGCATACCCAGGCAGCACATGGCAAAATGTCAATCCTGTGTGAATGTCAATTTCAAGGCAAGATCTCAAAAACAGCTATTTTTGAGAAAGAAAAAAAAAAAAAAAGAAAAGAAACAACAACCACAAACCACTGTACTGTTGGCAGTGGACTTTTAACTGGTTCATTTTAGACTCTTAAAAATTTTTTTAAATTTTTTTTTTATTTTGAGACAGGGTCTTCAGTTCAGGTTGGCTCATACTCAGTACTCCTGCCTAAGCCTCCTTGAGTCCTGGGAGTAAGGGCATTCAACATGACACCTGACTTTGAGACATGATCTAAGTGGTTTCTTAACAAAACTCATCTTCAAGTTTAGGTCAGAACTGGATAACCTTACCAGGCAGTTTACAGCTGTCCAGGTACCTGTTTGCTGTAAGAACAGTGTGGATCTTGAACTAAAGGGAGAGATGTTATTTTAGCCTTGTGCCTCACACTCTCCTGCTGGAGTGTATGCCTCAAACCAACTTTCTTACAAAGTTCCAGAAGTTCTGAGGTGGAGCCTGGAAATGGAATTTTTAAGTTACTCTGGTGATTCAAAGCCAGGTCCAAATCACTGGCTTAAAGCCGAGTATGGAGAAGCCAGTGAGCTGGGTTTTTACTTTCTTCTGGAAGTTGTATGGTGACCACTTCACTGGAATAGTTGAACTTTCAACTTGGCTTGTTTGGAGTGATTAGACATACTCTCAGTGGATATGAGTGTGGAGGTATATGGTATGAGCAAATCTCTTTACACTGCTCTGCTCTTTGCCATTGTCACAGGGAATTGAAATGGTCAGTTAGTAAGAAACAGGTCATAACATCCTTGCCTTCATCAGCGGTCAAGTTTAGTTCAACTTTCAGTTACCTGCCTGTCCCTAACCAGAAAACACCAATCTTAAATATTCCTTGGTTTTTATTTGTTGCATGGTGGCACTTGCCTTTGGAGGCAGAGGTGGGTGGGTCTCTTGAGTGGGCAGCCAGCCTGATTATGTAGTGAGTTCCAGGATAGCCAGGGCTACATAGGGAGACCCTACCTCAAAACCAAGTATTTTTTTTTCTTTTAAATAGTTTTAAAGGAGAAGATTCATTTTTAAAGTTAAATTACACTGTTATACTAACTAGAGAAAAAGCCATTGAGTTTAAGTTGGAGAAGACCCTTGGACTAGTAAACCAGGAGGATGTTTTCTGTCCTAGGACTTTTCATTCTGTTCTGTCTGAGGGTGGAGGTTCAGTTTAAGAAAGCTTGTTTTATTTGGACCTAAAATTTGTAATTTCAGAAGCCCAGCTCTCAGGCTGACCACAGCCAAGGCATGCATTTTGTGGTGCTTCTGCCTGGAAGTCTTCTGAAGTTTCCTTCTGGGGGCCTGAGTAGTAGTTCATTCCCACAGTGTCCCAGCACAGGGGTAAAGGTATCGTGGGGGAGGGGCTCCAGCATCAATAACAGAGCAACAGTTCCAAAGCAGTCTCTCCAGCTGTGTGTCTAGAACAGGAGGTTTCTGAAGAGAGTGTCCCTGATGCAAAGGGCAAGCTTTACAGTGTCACTAGAAAAGCTGTCCTCATACCTTGGTCACGATTTGCAGTCACTTGTGGACAAAGGTATCTGATGTGAGGGTGTTGAAATATATTACCTGGTGTATCATTTATCAGAGAAGGGCATTTTAAAAAGAGGACATAATTATGCAATAATGTTCCATAGCTGAGTAAGCACTTTGTACATTCTGAGAGTGGAGTGGCTGACCAAGTTCAAAGGAAATTGCAGCGTCCACAGGTTTTATGTCTCCAGTGGACTCTTAATTGCCAAGAGTTAATTGTTTTCCTTATCACTGTCTCCTTTTCATGTTCATTAGGTGAGAGTGGTGTGTGTCTACACACTGAGTGTGTGAGTTGTCCTTAATGCTATACACAAGATGTCAGTAATCAATTACAGATTTGAAGACCTGCAGAAAGCATGAATTTCCTGGTTCAGATTAAGATGGGGCAAAATTAGCAGCTCACGGTTACACAACAGCGAGACCTCCAGTTTAATCTTCTTGCCAGTCATGTTAGACCTTGTCTTCCCATGGAGTTCTCATAGTCTTTCCTTCACTAGACACTTACTCGGGTTGCGCGTGATCCAGGCATGGACAAGATAGCTAAGGTCCCAGCCCTGGAAAAGCTCATAGGCTTATGGGAGAAGTCAGATGATCAACAAATAACCATATGAAACAGTTGTGAACTGGTTTCCAGCAAAGCAGCTTTCTCCCTGAAGCTCACAGTGAGAGGATGGAAGGCCCTGTCACTGATGATAAGGACTTCGCTTCCAAGTGTTTCTTAAAGATCCCTCTCATCATCTTAGCATGATTTTCTTGACTTGTAAAGTGAGGGATGATTAGTGAGCCAAAAGGAATCCATCTTTTATGGGGAGAAATGACATTTTTTAAAACGTAGTTTTAAATTGTTGTCTGGACCTATGGATTCTTTGTAATGGGTAGGGAAAGCGGTACAAGGCCAGGGATGCTAAGGTCTTACCTGTCTTCTCCTAGCCGTAGGTTAATATAGTGTATCTTTTGATACAGTGTTATCTTTCTCAGTTTATTTCTAAGTGAAAGTGATGAAACATACTTGGAAGCAAGGACTAACCAGAATTTAATCTTTTTCAGAAGCCAGGAAGAAAGCATCCTGCCCTGGACTTGGCTTGTTTTACACATTGCTGTCGGCTTTCCTTTTCTCAGTGGCCTCTTTGCTTGTTAAAAAAGTGCAAGGCGTCCATGCTGTGGAGATCAGTGCGTTTCGATGTATGTTCCAAATGCTAGTCATTATTCCTTGCTTAATATACAGAAAGTAAGTATTTTTCAGAGTGCAGTAGAGGAAATTAATAAGTGTGTGTGTGTGTGTGTGTGTGTGTGTGTGTGTGTGTGAATCTTTTGAACTGCCTTAATATTTTTTCTGTAGTAACTGGTTTATCATAGACCAGTCTGTTCCCCTTCACCCTGATTAATGACGTGTTCTCAGGATCTACTCAGAGAAGGCCCTTCCATAAGTACAAACCACATGCCCATCAGAGGAGGAGGGGTCCATGTAGTTGTTCACCCTTTTTATTTGAAAACAAAATTCCAGGTGTACCACCCTCCCTTTACTTTGGCATAACTGGAATTTTGAAGATTAAATTATGGGAGTTATGGAATGTCAGGTTTCTTTCAGTGGGACAGACTGCCCTGCCAGATCATGCTGGTAAGATGGTGGTCTTACAGAGGGTGGCAGGTAGGACCTTGAGCAAGGTCTTTGGCTGCATTGGTATTCAGTTTCTTACCCTGTAAACTAGAGGGAGTGGTGCTGTCAGGGCTGTGCCCCAGAGCAGGTTGCAAGGGTCAGATAAGAGTTATTCTTGGTTAGAGTATTTTCTGGAGACTTCAACATACAAGTACTATTTTTTTACTGTCACCTTTCTCCTCTCCCTCCATACTTTATCCATTTTCTTCTGTGTAGAATCTGTCATTCTCAGTAGGGCCGAAATCACCCCCTCCCCACCCCGTAACTTACACATACCTTCCTGTTCTTTGAACCCTGGGAGGAGACTAATCGGGTCCTAACTGGCTACCTGACTCTTTGTTTGGAAGCTGAAGATGCTTAAACCTCAAATCAAATTTCCATTGCCCGCCTCCAGAGCCTCCCTGTATCCAGGCCATAATACAGATTCATTTAGAATAGTGTCATTCTGTATCCTGAGAAATTGGTTAGAAAGTGACAGTCTGCAAAGATTCATATTGCTAGCAATCCCTATGTAAATGTGTAAGCCAGAGTGCTTCCAGAAATAATGGTGAGCCTGCACCGAGTCCTAAAGGAGGTAATAGCACTAGGTTAGCAACCATATTCTCCATTTTTCAATAAAAATAGTCAAAGCCAGGAAGTATTTTGAAAATCTCTGGCTCTAGTCTGTTTTGATGTTGTGATTACTATCATGGGACATTCGTAGCTTTTCTTCATGCATATGGGCTGCAGATTTGTTCTGACTGTAGATACACAGAGTTCATGCTTACCTGGAGGAAGTTTGCTCTAGCAGGAGCCAGTGAGTTTTACCTAGCTAGGAACTATCAGAGTAGGTTCTGAGTGTTTAATTGGAAAAAATAGCACTAATTTTATGTATCAAACCACTGCTTTTGCTTTTTTTTTTCAGTGTATTTTAGTGCATAAGAACAGTGAAAAGTTATCCCATACTCAGTGACTGAATTCTAGCATTGTTCAGCTTTTCTAAAAGAATTGGTACAATGGAGTATACATTGGCCAGGATTAAGCTTCCTCGTGTAATGCTGCAACATCTTGAAATTATGTTTATTATAAAATGATGTGTTTTTATCATAGAAAATTTGGGGGAAAAGATGTGATTTGACTCTTAGGGTATAACGCCTCTTAACATGTCATCCTTTTTGTCTTTATTTGTTTTACAAGAACATATGTGGGAAAACAATTATATTTATCGACTTTTTATCATGTTGTTTATGAGGTTAAGTGTTCTTTTTTTTTGCTCCTGCTATGAACACTTTGAATTATCATTACCTATACCTAGAAAAACATTTTTAAATGATTCATACTGTTCAATACTAGGTAGAATTTACTGTTACTCCCTTATTTTTAGTATAATGTATTTTAGAATAATGTCTGAATAAACATTTTGATTGAAAAGCAATGCCAAGTTCATTTAAAATGCATTTTTTTTCTTCATTTAAATTTGCAGATCTGGGTTTATAGGTCCCAAAGGCCAGCGACTTTTTCTTCTTCTCAGAGGACTCTTTGGCTCCTGTGCCATGATCCTTATGTATTATGCTTTCCAGACGACGTCCCTCGCAGATGCCACAGTTATTGCATTTAGCTGTCCAGTGTTTACGTCAATATTTGCTTGGATATTTCTCAAGGAAAAGTATAGCCTTTGGGACGCTTTGTTCATGTTGTTCGCGTTGGTTGGAGTGATCCTTATCGTGAGGCCGCCATTTTTATTTGGCTCCGACACATCAGGGATGAACAAAAGCTATTCAGAGCACATTAAGGGAACATTTGCTGCAATTGGACATGCCGTGCTAGCTGCAATGACCCTGGTTATCTTAAGGAAAATGGGAAAATCTGTGGACTACTTTCTGAGCATTTGGTATTACGTCATACTTGGCCTTCCTGAATGTGCCGTCATCCTCTTTATCATAGGAGGATGGAGTATCCCCTACTGTGGGCTAGATAGGCTGTTTCTCATACTTATTGGGCTCTTAGGTTTGGGGGGTCAGATATTCATTACTAAAGCCGTTCAAATAGAAAAAGCAGGACTCGTAGCAATAATGAAGACAATGGATATAGTCTTTGCTTTTATCTTTCAGATTGCTTTCTTTGATAATATGCCCACCTGGTGGACAGTGGGTGGGGCTCTCTGTGTAGTAGCCAGTACTACTGGAGCAACCATTCGAAGATGGATCCAGAGTTCCACAGTTCAACAGTGAAATGTCACTGTTGAAATCTATATTTTTTTTCAAGTATGCCATCACCCAGCTCAGACTTCTTACACACCTACACACATACCTGGAAAAATCTGCATTATTGATTGATTATATTTAATAAATTTCATAAAGTACCATTTTTGAATATGGTATCTTTTAAATTAAGAGTAGCTAGTCTAGCCTAGCAATTTTTGGATAGCTTTTAGTTTTGCTTTGGCTTGTTGGGGTTGAGGTGTCATTGAGAAGACAGCTCTTTTGAGGAATTTCAGAAATTTTTATGAATACAATTTTTAAAATTTATTTTTGACACAGATAGGATGTGGGTGAGAGATACTCTATTTTAGCATTGTAGATAAGAAGCTTAATGTTGACAATGCTGCTATAATTAGTACTGTGTTAATCCTTCATTTGCAATATAATCACATTTAGGATGCCAAAGCTGAAACTTGGTACAGGTGCCTACTTACTGATAGGAATATAAGTGAACCAGCCTTATTGTCAAGGATTTTATAGATGATCATTACACTTTGAACTCTTATTTGTGCCTTTTTGTTTTGATGCTGGAATTTTTATATGTACTCTTTGAACAAAGCCTTTTGCTTGCCCATATGTGGTTAACAGTTCTCTCTTTCAGTAGATTAGTAACTCTGGCTATTGTTTTGAATTTTTCAATTGTCTCCTGCTTTATTGAAATTGCACTTTTTTTTTAGCATTCCAATATTTTCAGTCTTAAAATGATGAGAGAGAAATCTTGGGGTGACCAGTGTGCACATTCCCATTGTTAGGTGTTTACACTTGAGATATGATAACTTTCTACAAATTCTCTTTGAATTCATAGTATGATGCCAAATACAGTTTTCTCAGGATTGTGCTAGGTTGGGCCATAACAAATTGCCCAGATTATACCATTTTCATTTACAAAAACTGATAGTTCTAGAAGGTTTATCCTAATTGCCCCTTTAAAGTATAGGTCTGTTATATTAAACTTATTCCTACAGTCTTCTTCCATTTTGGAATGATATGTTATAATGCTTGTGATATATGAAAAAGATAAAGGCCAATTAATGCACAGTTGATTGACTTTCACAGTTTCTTGCATATATAAAAAAGTCACAGGTAAATGCTAGTCTTTGACTGACAAGCTGCACCATGATACTAGTGTGAACTCAGACAGTAGATTCTAAATGTGGAGCGTCATCAAGTTCCTACTCTCCTGTGAAAGGAATGATTGGGAGATTGGACAGGGTGTCTTTGTCACTTTGGATGCCTTTATGGTAAGGTCATAGTGGGTGCCACGTCTTACTCTGCCAGACACCCTCTATTGTTATCTTAAGCTGCAGAGTTGAGGAGCTGTGTGTTCTTTCCCAGTCTCCCCACAGTTCTTCCAAAGGCAGGAACTGGGTTCCTGGAACATACATTCTGTTAAGAGGATCTTCTCCAGTAGTTCCAAAGAGGAACTTCAACTTTACTGCTTTTAAAGACTTTCCACCTGACATCCTAGATAATATTTATTTAGCTGAGTCATCTCAATCACACTTGACCTGACTCATACTCTTGGAACTTAGATTTGCAACAGTGCCATTCTACCAGCATCTCAGAAAATATAGTCAACAACAGTCTTTTAGAGTTCAGAGCTATCTTAGAGATCATCCTTTGGGACCCATGCTCCATACCCAGGGATGACAGGATGGAGACCTGCAGTAACTGGGTTTCCATGGCAGCCTCTTCTCACTTAGTTCCACTTACGGAGAGTTAGACACTCCTGGAGCCACTGACTAACTTACACAATAGCAGAGTCACTGGGACTGGGGAAGATAAACCCATTTGGAAACATGTTTTATTTCAACTATATCTTAAGTACTTGAATGTCACAGTATGTGGCTGACATTGGAGACAATGTTTCTTATCCCAACCTTTACAGGGTATGATTTTTAAAAAATGTTCAAGTGGTATACAAGGCTATGTATGTGTTGTAACAATTATGGGGGGGTATGTATTTTCCAAAGATTGTTGTTTCTATATCTTGCAAAGGAAAATATTTTTCCTAACTTGTTTTTGTTTTATAAGTAATAAAATTATAAAAGAAAGTGATATGTTGGTTTTGATGACTACAGAAAAATGTCTCATAACTCATTTCTCAACTGGGTGCTTCAGATTTTATTTTCTATGGGTGACTGGCTTCCATCCATTTAGCTAGGCTATGATCTTAAAATTTCAAACTTTATCTCTGCTTCATATACAGTAAATACATCTCCAAAATAAAGAGTAATCTGGCCCACTGAATTAACTAAGCAGAGCTCACATGGGCTCACAGAGACTAAAGCTGGAAGCACAGGACATGCATGGGTCCGTACCAGGTCCTCTGCATATATGTCATGGCTGTTAGCGTGCTCTTTTTGTGGAACTCCTAACAGTGGGAGTGGGCATATCTCTGACTCTTGCCGCTCTTGAGACCCTTTTCCTCCTGTTGGGTTGCCTTGTCCAGTCTGGATAGGAGGGCTTTTGCCTTGTCTTACTGTATCTTGTCCTGTTTGACTGTTGTCTCTTGGAGGCCTTCACTTTTCTGAAGGGGAAATGAGGGGCAGTGGATATTGGGGAGAGGAGAGAGAGGAGGTAAGTTGGAGGAGTGGAGGGAGGGGAAGCTATGGTTGGGATGTATTATGTGAGAAGAATATTTTTAATTAGAAAAAACTTTAGAAGGACAGTCATTGGTTCAGAAACCTTCATTATTCTAGACTCCCTCTATTCCCCAAGTTTAGCAGTTCAGAGCTTTGCTGTCTTTAGATAATCTAAGTCCTGTGGTGTGCTCTTGCTGTCCTAGGAATTCATTCTACCCTCACATGGCCACTACTGCCAACCCCGTCATTATACCTGATTTTGTGCAACTGTATTTCTAACTGAGCTACCTACTTAAGGCTTTGAGCTTGACCCCGGTGTCAAGGCAGGCCATTCTTTTCGAAGTCCTACTGTTGTCACTGTGGTTCTCAGGAAGCTGTGGTGGCAGGTAGTTCACACTGTCGTGCCCATCTGGCCCCACTCCCTCTTCACCCTGCTTTCTCTGAGCACGAAACACTTGGGTCAGCCTTCCCCTCAACTCCGATTTGTGAGAAGAACCCCTTTCCCTGCTCTCCCTATGGTCTTCCATGCCCTCAGAGGTCTACTGGCCTCCATGGCTGAACTGGGACTTCTGATTCTTCCATTGCCTCCAGCGTTTTCACCCTCATTAATCCCTCTGAAGAAGGCAGCAAAGTACTGGGTTAGGCATCTGAGGCTGGGTGTGGTTTTGTTACTTCCAGTGAGATAAACAGTGTACCTGGGCTATTTTCATTTGGTAAATAGAAATACCATTGTCCAAATCCTTCTAACTAGTGAGTGTCATAGACTGTAGGCCAAAAGAGAAGCACAAAAGAGTAAGTGTTGAGCTGTGGTCAGAACTATTCACTGTCTTGAAAAAGATGCCTCCTCTGGGCCCGTCTTCCTCAGGAGCCTTCCCAAGACCTGCAGGTACAAATGTCTCAGGATGCAAACATCCATCAGCCCCTCCTGTAAGCACAGACCTGAGTGGATGGATGGATACCCTTTCTGTTCAGGCTGAGCTGCCCACAGAGGGCTGCCGAGGGTCACTGCGTCTCTTTTCTTGTGCATAGTTCTGACAGTTTTCCCAGTTGGCTTTGGTGCTTGTTCCCAGCAAGAGTGATGTTTGACTCTGACTTGGGGAATAGGCCTCACCCTCCATGTGCTTCCTTTGTATTGATCTTTGTTTATTCACTGAATATGACAAGTCTTATAGTGGCAAGAGAGCTAATTTCCCCGATACTACCCTATCCTCTCCTCCAGGTATGTGTAAGTTCACAGTGGTTGGCATTAAAACTGGTTCATAATGGTATCATTTGGACATGCAATACCTGGACACTACCCCCAAGCATGATTTTTTTTTTTTTTTGGTCCTTTTGGTGTTGTATATAAAATCTAATACAGCCACCATACTTACCCAGAATTCTCCAGGATGCCTTACCAGTTACGTCCTATGCGACCCAAAGAAACAGTCACCTAGGCCATAGCCTATTTGAAACTGGCCTTGGAAAACACCACAGAGAACCATGATATGTGGTACTCCCTTTTATCTAGAAATTGGGGGTAAGGGTCACAGCATTCGGGTAAAGGACAACCACATGTGCTATCAAGGCTGGACAGGTAACGATGGCAGCCTGCCTGCCCCACAAGGGCAGATGCTGTGATTTCAGGAAATACCGCCAGTAGAGGAGAGCCTGACTCTTCTAACCTTTCATGACTCATAACCATTCATAGTCCTAACAGGTGTAGCCATAAAGCACAGGAACTAGCCCATATTTCTGATTTGTTGCCAGGCTGAATTCAAGAAAATATAGACCCACCTTTGAGAAAAGGTAAACATGGGTAGGAGAAAATATGTTGAGGCGATCAAAGTTCTAAGCCAAGGTCATGTGTAGCAGCTGAAGACTGCAAACTCGGGGCCAAAGAGAACAGGTGAGCCACGAGGTCTGTTCCTGGTGCTGTAAGTACCCAGCTGCTCTCACAGGTGATCAAAGCAGTCAAAACCCAAAACACACCAGAGGGATGGAAGCGGAGGATCCAATTATTTGGGGTTCTTTATGATTACACCGTGTTAATATTAGAATCAAACTCAAGCATGAAGTCATATTCAGACTTCCATTTCTAATTCAGTCTAACCATTTCTCTCATGTGATGCTACCCCCTGGGAACCCAGTTGCACTGCTGTGAGGAAACCAGGATCACGTACAGAGACCACCTGAAGAGGAGTCTTCACCCCTCAGGCCCTTCTGCACCGCAGCTGACAGCGCACACTGGCTTGCCAGACAGGGAGTGTGCGCACTGGGAATGGATCCTCCAGCCCTCAGGTAGGCTACCCCAACCAATGCCATGTACAGAACATACAAACCTTAACCCACTGCTGGATTCTCAAATTGCAGATTTATGAGAATAAAAAATTGTCGTCGTTTCAAATTACTAAAAAAAAGATACAAAAAATGTTTGAATGTATATGTAACCAGTTATACATGATCACAATTATATACAACAAAACTTCAATATAAAAAACAAAATCATGAAAAAAGAACAAAGAAGCTGGGCGGTGGTGGCGCACACCTTTAATCCCAGCACTCAGGAGGCAGAGGCAGGTGGATCTCTGTGAGTTCGAGACCAGCCTGGTCTACAAGAGCTAGTTCCGGGACAGCCTCCAAAGCCACAGAGAAACCCTGTCCTCGAAAAACCAAAAAAACAAAACAAAAGAAAAAGAACAGATTAAGTTGTCAAAAGTTAAATATATAGGGATAAGAATAATAAAATAATAAAATAATCAAACCAAATCTTCTCTAATGCCCAAACTATTTTAATAATGACACTGAGAATGTTGGTGTGTCTTACACTCTTTCATGGTTTTTTTAGAGATTACAAGATGCAAAAAAAAAAAAAAAAAAAAAAAAAAAAAAAAGAAAAAAAAAAAAAAAAAAAAAAAAAAAAAAAAAATAGAAGAAGCTAGCTCTTACCTATTAAGCTAAATTTGTAGCATGTATATTTATATATAATGGTTTCACTTTCATTTGGGGCAAATATTTTTTATTTATTTGACAATTTCATACATGTAAATGGTGTATTTTGATTGTGTTACCCTCACTACCCACTCCTTCTGAATGGAAATGCCTTAATAAAATATTGCTATTGACAGGAAACAGTTTGCTTGTGTGTTTGCAGTCCTTGGGAGTCATCCCAAGATTTTATGTCTAGTTTGCAGATGCTCTACCACTGAGTCATATCCCCAGCCCTGTGGTAGAGGGTTTTTTGTTTTTAATATTAGTTTTGCTTTGAAATATGGTAACTATATACAAAACCTACATACACAGAAGCTCTTTGGCATCTTCAATATTTTTAAAAGATATTCCATTTTATTTTATTTATTTGTTATATCTTGCAAGCACTAGATTTGCTGCAGCATGAATTGACCAATAATTTGAGAGTAATGGCACAGGGACAAGATGTGTGAGAACAATGCTAAGGGCTGGGGTGTAGCTTGGTGACAGAGCGCTTGCCTAGCATGTGCAAGGCCCTCAGCCGCATCTCCAGTGTTCCAACCAGGGATATCAAGTTTGAACTTGAGAGAAGTATGGAACACAGAGAAGTACCTGTCTAAACTAGATACATTTTTTACCGATATTCCCTTAGAATGGTGAGTTTGAACAGGTCTGAATCTACCAAAGCCTTCCAGTTATCCTTAGATCTAAAGAGAGCAGGGAGCACAGAGCAAAAAAGTCCACCTGGCAGCAGCCATGGGGTCACATAGCAGCATCTTCAGAGGCTCCATATTTTGTGCCTTGGGTCTTTCAGTTGTGCTGTGTAGACACTAAGGACACTTGGACACTTTGGAGCCTGTGTTCATAGGGACAACTGTGAAGCTGTTTGGTAGCCTCTATTAAATATACAAACACACATACTGCACACCCCCAATACTCCATTTGAGGGATTTATCTTCACTTATGTACAAAATGGCATATACAAGATTATTCATTGTGGCCATATTTTTAATAGCAAAAAAAAATTGAACAAGCCTGATGATATTCTTCAGTGGGGTACTGGCTAGATAAGGCATGGCACATATGTGAGATAATCTGGCACACAATTAAACGTATATCAAGACCAAGGAAGCTTTTCATCCATGCTTGCAGCAAGCCTCCAAACTGCTAAGTGAAAAACACAAACAAGGTTTGTGCTCATTTACACATACAAAAGGGACCATTTCAGGAGGACACACTGAAGGCGTTGACATTGGCTGTCATTGGGACAAGGGACCTGGTGACTGAAGGGTGGAATAAAGATGCTTTTCACTGAATCCCTTGAATATTTTTCAGTTTGAACTATGTAAAAATAAATTGGTGAAATAAAAACCAAAAGATTTTTCTTGAGATTTTATTTAAAAAATAAGAGAAAACGTCGAGCTAGAGGCATG